GAAATTGTTAGCGCATGCCAGTCTACTCCCTCAAAGTGTCGAGACGTACCCGCTGCTTTCTCAACGTATGGGCAAGCGATTAATTGCTCCCTGATGACCAAAAAGAGCCATGAAACAGCAGATGAAGCGACCGCAAACCAGTGAAAATAGATGATTCCCTTTGCCATTGCTCGAAGCAATGGGTAGAAAGGGGCAAAGTAGCCCGACTTTATGGCGAAAAAGTCTGTCGAAGGGAAGAGCAGATATGCGAGCTGCCGCTTGGACTGCTCATACAGATTATCCATTTCGTAGAAAGTGAGTAATGGCGCTATAGGATCGCCTCATAATACTGCGGATTCAAGATAAATCATGCGTACGCGCTTGTAGAGGATCGCAGTCCCTCCGATCAAGCAGATGAGGCCGAGGGTGAGGAAACCGTCGTCCAGGAAGAGATGGCGTCACAAGAACAGCCGAATAAATATACGGCCAAAGAAGCATAATACTGCAAGACCGAAGAGAACACTTCTCGCGTTGCTATTGCTCAATATGCGGATATTGAGGATTGTTGATTTACTGACCCTGAAGTCGTGGAAAGTAATCTGACCGGTGGTCGCGATATCCCATTTTGCTTGAGCAATTTCCTCAGGAGTGAGCGCCATCCCCATGGCTGTCAGATCCATCGTGCTCATGTCTTCCATGTTTGGAGGTGTCATCTTGTCACGACGTAGCGGAGGGAGATGCTGAAAGGATTGAAATTTGATGTCCGAATCCTTATACCTGGTGTAGCCAGAAAGCAAGGCAGGATGTAACACCGCGCTATCACGTTATCTAGTCGTATAGATGCTCTCCCGACTTGGTATTCATCTTGTACGTACAGAGCTCTCTGAAGAGTGCGAATCCTCGATCAACAATGCAACTATCTTCGTCTACACTGATAGGGGCGCATGGAGCTGCTGGATAGTTGGAATTCGGATGCTGAGCGTAAAGCTCGTCCAGAGCTTTAAGGATTGTACAGGCGTTAAGGTGCCGAATGAGCTCCCCACGGGAATCTAAACACACAATTTTTTGACCTTAGCTGTGTATTTTGCGCATTTTAGCAGTACCTTTAATTGTCAATGCGAATTGCTAACGAACTATGCTGTTTGAGCTTGCTCCCGACGCTTCTTAATCTCAGCCCTTATAGATGGTGAGTCATTGCCTTTCCCATTAAACCCAGAGCGAAGCCTCATTTGCATTGGAATACAGCCCGTCGCATCCTTATACATGGACTGGGGTTCTGCCACCCAAAGGACCATCTTTCTACCGTGTACTCTACTTGTAGCGACTTCGGCGTAGCTAAGCCACTTGATTACGAACTCCTTAGGTGGCGTGCTTTCGACGACCCTTCGCACCATGCGCTCGACACCGTGGACGTCTGTCAAGTAGAGTGGTCCTTCGACGGATGTATCCTTTGCCTTTTAATACAGTTTAGCAACTTTCCAAACGCCTCTCGAGTATCCAATCGCCTTCATTCCGAGTTCGTCTTCCAAAGATTTAGATTAAAGTATCGGGAAAGAGCAGGAAGGCTAAGATCCGAATGATGAGTTCATTTATCGGGACCGCGGAATCCCCTGGAGATGATAAATCCTTCAAGAAGCTTCTTCCCCAGCTAGCCCAGCATGATTGCGGTGTAATAAGGAGATGGAAAGTGGATGAAGCAAGTATGATGTTCAACTATGGATCGCCTTGCATTTGAGTAGAATAAGTAACGGACCGTTTATAGTTGAGAGTAACGCGCGAAAGACATTGTTCTGAACGTACAATGTACGGATTTTCGAGTTTGCACAATGCTGTTCTCAGTCGGCTTAGTACGATGACTTCTTAGGCGAGTGAGACTACCCGCTCGTAGTCGTGCTTGACTGTTTCTCACCAAATATCAGACCTCAAAAATGGATACCCAGGTAGCTTTTCTTAGTAAGTCGTGTCTTAGTATGTCTTACCTGCTTTCGTATTCATTTTTAAAAGCATATCCTGGAGGACATCCGTTCATATTGATAGAAGCCACGTTATTGTTATGCCTGTGTACGCTGCGATTGTAGGAGGAAGAGATGAGGTTGGAATTAAGGTAAGAACAATATCACGTGACTAGATCCACGTTACCTACCTACGTGGAAAGTTAGGTTATCTGCATTGTTTCCGGGTATCTACAGAGAAATTTATCCCAGTTTTCGATTCATACAATGCCATGATACGCAAAACCGTACTGCAACGACTTCGCCCCTCTTCCGCTCTCGCAACACGATTGAAATTTCTGCGAACTACATAGATGCGCATTTACAGTACCATGCTTGCTCGTTCTCCATTTCTCTTCTGCTGACGGAACTTGGGGACATTCGCAGAACCGTCTGAGCTCAGATACAGTCTACCTCAAAGTCCTTTGATGATATTTGGAGAGTGTCGCATTGCTCCTATTGCAGCCTGGTGTTTCTTTGTTTTCTCCGCCCCTTTCCTTTAGGATATTGGCGATGGGTTTGGGTCGCCATGGTTGCAGATGTATTTTGAACACGTCTTAGTGTCTTCTTTTTGCACTGCTGGGGGACATGATTCCTGGGGCAGGTTTGAAAGGTGCCCTTACGATGGTGCTCATTACTTTAGCTTTTCAACAGCCCGGTCCTGCAAAGCCTCGGTACAATCAAGATCCTCGGCTGAATGCGGATTAGCTTACACTCTATTTATCCTAGCATGCCTATCTTAATATCTAGAACAGTAGGTTCAGTTTAGCGGGCCATGTGTTTGCAGATCATCTCCACTTTTCGTCCTTAGGTTAAGGTATGATCCCAGTCGTTTGACCTCCTTTTTGGTCTCACCCATAGCGGAGCGCTGTCTGGAGAAGAATGCGGGGAGGAAATTAGGCACAGGGATTAGTACTTTCCAATGTCGATGGACTAGGACGAACTGCTGCACAGATACTTAAGAAAGGTAGGTAATCGTAGACCATTCCAACTAGGATTCTCCGCATTCTACATCTCGTTCATGTCTTTTCTATTCTCTCCCAAAATGTCTTCTCTTCTCCCAGCCAGTCTATTCATCACATCTCTATTAACACTCTTTACAAATGTCGCACCAGCACCAGCACCCGCGCCCGGCCCAGATGCACAGCTCACAGGAGATCTACTCGACGTAATCGGAAATCTAGTAACCCGACTCTCAAATCCAACGCCTACTCAAACCCCAACCAGCACCCCCCAGGTCCTTTCAATCCTCGAGGACCATTTCGCATCTAGACCCGCTGGCTTCATATCCAACGGACTAGACTTCGTCGCAAAGGGACTTCAAGTACAAGGCTTAGACGGCGCCACCATCAACGACGGCCAAGCCGGAATCAACATCTTCGTAAACAACAATCCAAAACTTCCAAACCCCGTATATCCTCAAGCGGCCGCAGGCGATGCCCCCTACTCCCTTCCAGAGAACGACCTCCGTTCCGCAATCTTCACCCCGCCTGGATTCGATGCTTCTAATGCGCCTAACCCCGTGCTTCTTGTCCCCGGTACAGGTGCTTTCGGCGGCGTAAACTTCGAAGATAACCTTGCGAAAGTGATGGCACAGGACCCGTCGATAGGCCAACCAGTCTGGCTCAACATTCCCGGCGCGATGCTCATGGACGCCCAAACAAACGCCGAATATATCGCTTACGCCATGAACTACATCCGCTCCCTGACTGGCTCCACCGTCTCCGTGATCGGGTGGTCCCAGGGGAGTCTCGATTCGCAATGGGCGTTTAAGTACTGGCCCTCAACTCGCAACTCCACTCGGCAGCTCATAAGTATAAGTCCGGATTTCCATGGCACGGTGTTGGCGAACTTGGTTGATATCCCGACAGATCTTGGGGTTGTGCCGCTTCCGCCGAGTGTCCTGCAGCAGGAATATGATTCGAATTATGTGAAGACTTTGAGGGCTGGAGGTGGGGATTCGGCGTATGTGCCTACGACGACGATATATAGTGCTGTATTCGACGAAATCGTACAACCCCAAGCGGGTACCGGCGCGTCTGCATATTTACTGGATGCTCGCGGCGTCGGTGTTTCGAATAATGAGATTCAGAGCGTTTGTGGGTTAACGCCCGCCGGTGCATTTGGGACGCATGAAAGTCTTTTGTTTAACGGATTGGCGGTTTCGCTGGCTGTTGATGCACTGCAAAATGGTGGACCAGCGGATCCGAAGAGATTGGATTTGAGTGTGGTTTGTCAGCAGATTGCGTATCCGGGGTTGGACCTAGTGGATGTTGTTGAGACGGAAGCTTTGATCCCCATTGCTGCGGTGAATATTTTGGAATTTATTCTGCAAGGCGGAGGGGTGGCAAGGGAGCCTGCGATTAGGTCATACGCGTTGTGATGGGCCAGGGGTTTTATTTCATTATTCTCTTAGATCTGCTTCGGAACTCTTAATCCGTAATGTTTAGTATGTATTTAGTAGAGCGCGATCTGCGTCGTCCAAGGCGAAGAAATAACCTCAAGTTCACTCATCACGGCAAGAAGGTTTTGTCTTCAACATCGAATCGAAATCCATCGTAAGAAGCCATCACTGCATGCCCTCCCCAATAACGCAGCGCACCCACCACACTTACCTACCCCTCAACCCCAAGCTGATCCAATGTCCACACCGCCTTCTCCATCTATTCACACTCCTTACCCTACCCACTCCCATAAATATAGACCTACCCCAAAGCTGGCTGCACATCTCCAACACTAATTCCTAATCTCTATATTCCCACTCCATCGCCCCCAACATATCCTTCCCTCCATCCAAGCCCCTCGCAATCTCCACCCATCATCCATGCATCCTCTTCTTCCGCAGCCAAACAATCTTCTCATTCATCCATACTAGAGAGCTGCGCCGCCGAAGTGGAAACAGGACTACGGATGCGAATTCCAGTCTAGGATACCCGTGATCTAGGAAACAAAAGAGTTGCAACAACCCGAACTGTCTGAATTTAAAGAAGAATAAGTCTCGGATGCGGGCCGGTGTTTCGATTGATAGCTTTGGTAATAATGTTCGTCGAGATGTGGACCGGGGATGACATCTCCAAGTTGCGCGATGCAAAGGCCGCCTAGACCTGGGAAAGGGTGTTTATGTAATTGGATATGGAATTCCGCCATCTATTTAAGATACAATCCACCTTTTCCTTATCCTTTGTAACTTCGTCATAAACATTACCTGCGGTTACGCCTTTTAGACACGTCATTATCACGTACTTGCTCCCAATCCGATTTCTGTCACAGTTTGATAAGTGCAGGATTTGGGGGACGGGGATCGTGGCGTTTAGGAATAGCCATTTTAGCGTTGCGGCTTCGTTTCTGTTTTGATTCGGGGGATACTGGAGTCGGCAATGCGGAGGATGAGAGAGGTAGGGATGGCGTTTTCTGAGAGATGAGAGGAGCTGCTGTGCGTTTGAAAAAGGGTAGAGAGGGTTGACGGCTGGTTGATGAGGGCCTATATGGAGTGGTATTTGCCGGTTACTTGGGGAAAAGAGATATTTGAGGGTGCCGGGAAATCCATGGAGGCTAGCAGAGAGTTGATTGATGTTTCATTGACTGGTGAGGAGGGGAATGAGAATCTTTCGGTGCTTGGGGTTAGAACAAATGGCATGCCGTATCCTTATAAAATTTGTGGTTCCTTGTGGCGGATTGCTCTATAGGGACCAACGATGTGGTGGTTGTTTAGTTTCTGGAGCGGTCGCTCTAAGCGGTGAGCTGCTCGAAACGGACTCTTCATTCGTTGCAGTGTATGCTTTGCGAACGGATGTCTCTTGACGCAGATCGATTCATTTCAAGTGCTTCCTTCCAGCTCTCGTTCGACCGTTGAGAGCGCAAGAGACTAGGGAGGGCCAACCAAACGCAGAAAGAGGTACGCTGCTGACTGACCAATCACAACCCGGCACGCGATCACCAGCGTTTCCCGAAATGGCCGAGAAAAGCGAACGAGCAATGCGAGCACTCAAGCAAACGCACTGGTGTCAAATTTCTAAGTATAGTCGCCGAATTCTTTGTCCACGTAATGAGAAGAGATGATGTTCTATTAAGGTTGTCGTTTCATACAGTCGATCTCGTATTCACAACGATGAATTACCGCATTGGGCATGGCTTGCGAACGACCCATGAACATAGAAGAACACGAAGAGTGAAGATGAAATGTGACAGTGTGGTGATGAGATTATAGACGTAAGCTAGGTCTTGGAGTGATGGTACTTAACGAGGGTGAAGGTGACGACGGAATGGAACTCCCCAGCCCTCTTTCCCTCTTCTTTCGCAACAGCTCCGTTTGCACTGCCTCGCAACTTCTTCTTCCTCTTTCTTCCACATTTTCGCAACAGCACATCTTCTTCTGTATCGTCAACTCCTGACAACGAATATGCGGCTGCACAAGCTCCTCCTCGTTGGCATCCTCCCAAGCGCTTTCGCCTACTGCCCCCCACCGGGGCCACTCCTCCCTCCTCCGGATTTTCATGCCAATTCGGTCTTGAATCCAGACCAGACCGATGCTATAAAGCAGCTGAATGCCTCGTTCTCCATCCGAGGCAGCATCGGGGGCGAGCCGGCCTTTGAATTCGATTACACTGCAGCTTCCCATAACGTCACCATCACTGGGAATACAATGTATCGAATCGCCAGCGTGACAAAGGTGTTCACTGTGCTTGCCGTTTTGCTTCAGAAGGAGAAGATGAGAATGGATGATCCGATTGGCAAGTTTGTGCCGGAGCTAAAGGGAGGGATGTGGGATGATGTTACTGTGGGCGCGTTGTGCAGTCAAACTGCTGGGCTGCCTAAAGATGTGAGCTCTAAATCTTTCTTTTCGTTATCTTAAGGCGTATGTGGCTGATTCGGAAAACTAGTTAAACGTATTCGACCGCGCAACTCCAGGCTTTGGACCTGATCCTGAGGATTCAGGACTTCCGCTGCTTCCTCCTGCCGAGTTGCCGAGCTGTGATGCCGGTCCTCTGGCACCATCATGTAGTCGCGAAGGTCAGTATTCCACTCGTTCTATATCAACCCAACCTGTGCTTACTAAATTGGAGAATTTCTCGTTGAGTTACTCAACAACACCTTTGTCTACCCCGTAAATTCCCGTCCCGCTTACTCCAGCCCCGCATACATTATCTTGGGTTTCGCCCTCGAAAACGCGACCGGTAAACCCTATAACGATGTTATACGCGACCTAATCATCAAACCTCTCGGCCTAAACCTCACCGGTTTCGACACACCCACTCCCGATAAAGATATTGCATTACTTGGCGATCCATGGTCTGCTCGGGACTTCGGAACCTACAATGCGTAACATGCACCTGCTCGATTCCCCTTGTCAAGATGATCTGGGGCTAACAGGAAGAATAGAACAGCAGGACTCTGGTCCACCCCCAACTCTCTCTTGGCCTTCCTAAATTCCATCTTGCAATCGAAACTACTTTCCCCCGCTCAGACCCGCGCCTGGCTTAAACCGCACACTTTCACCTCCACCCTAACTCAAGCCGTCGGCGCCCCCTGGGAAATCATGCGCCCTGCCAACTTGAACCTCACGTATCCTCGTCCGATAGACCTGTACACGAAAATGGGAAGTGTACCTACCTACGCGGCACATGCGGTCTTGATACCAGAGTACGATCTCGCCATCAGCATTATGGCAGCGGGATCGAACTCGAATGAGGCTGTAGCCAAGTTAATCGGGATGGGGGTGGAGAATTTGGTACCTATAGCTGACCAACTTGCGCGCCAACAAGCTGCCGACAAATATGTTGGAACATACGTTTCGACGAATTTGACTAACAATGCGAGCCTCACGATTGCGCTTGATGACGGACCGGGATTAGCGATCCCGGAATGGAAGAATCAAGGCAAGGATATGTTGGATACGTTCTCCCAAATCGCAAGTGTGGAGAGGGAGAATTTCGGGTTTAGGTTGTATACGATGGGATTAGGCGATCGATGGCGTGTTGGATTTGAGAGTGTGAAGAATGGGGCGAGTTTTGCGGATATGGGGTGTGACAGTTGGTTGCTGGTAGATAGCTATAGGTATGGGAAGCAGCCCTTGGATGAGCTGGAGTTTCGGGTCAAAGGTGGGAAGGTTGAGGGGGTGTGGGCTCCTGGTTTGCGGCTATATTTGAAAAAGGAAACCAGGTATGGGAGGATCTGAGGAATGTGGAAAACCCCAAATATGGAGGGCCTGAAGAAACGTTGAAAATAGCGATCAGCTAAACATATGCGCAGACTAAATTCAAGATGGACATGTGGATTAACGTTATGGAGCATTCTACACAACACCAAGGATTTCTCCGATAACTGATTTGAAAATCCCCTTGCTGTCAAATTTTTCTCGTACAGCCTTGAAGCGCGCCAAGTGGGCGGAATCGATGTGCTTCTTTGCTTGTTCGAAAACTTCACGCGTGTTCTTAGTCCAGTGGGGGCGGCAAGGGAATTCGTCGATCAAGGCCGTGGCGAGGTTGTGATCTATTCACTTCATTAGCTACCACAAAAGAAACAATAACATGATCACTTACAGAATGGCTCATTAAACCTCAAATGATCGCCTACCGTCGGTCTAAAGCTAGGGAAATCGAACATGATCGCCCCCTTACTCCAATCCTCGCCATCGGCCGTACCCGTCGTAACCTGTCCCAACAAATCGAAATACGCTTTCCCAAACTTGATGTTTATTCCGCTGCGGTAGGTGCTTGTCATGACGATACCTTTTTTCAGTTCGTCGTCGAAGGCTTTGCGGACACGTTTTAGGACGGCGTTGGCTTGGGTGACCGGGAAGGCGAGTTCGAGTGTATACCCCCGGAGACCGAAGTCCCATTCGGTACCATAGCCGGGATAGAGGCCGCCGATCAGGACGTCGTAGTTCCAGCCGTAGACGGGCCAGGAGAGGATTGCGGCGTCGGTTTTCTTCTCGCGGAAGTTGGGGGCAGACCAGAGGGCGAAAAAGAGGGTTTCGGCGGCCATATTGGAGGTCGGAAGGTACTTCCCTGAGTTGAGGAGCCCGAGTGCGATGTCTGCTTCCGCTTTTGTGACGCTAAAGGTCGATTGGAAGCCTTCTTGGTCGGAAATATTGGCGGGGACGGGGTCGTAGTAGCGGTGGTGGAATTTTCGCATGTAAGGCCACCACCAGAAATTTGCGGTTGCGTAGGGGGAGATTAGGGAGTAGATGTCGCCGTTTAGGACATCGTCTTCCGACAATCTGACCATTGTTAACGTCCCGTGTTAGATGGGAGAATCGTGATAAAACTCACGTATCCTGCTTCGCATACACCTTGAAATCTGGGTAGACCTTGAACTTGATTCGAGCGATGACACCGAGGAGGCCGAGGGAGGTGGAGGCAGCAAGCCATTCATCACTATTCTCATCTCGCTTAATGATGCGCAGGTTTCCGCTTCCGTCGATGATGTGGATTTCTAATGCGCCGGCAGCAACCATACTATCTTCCTTTAAACTCGATCTGTGTGCCCCCATCGCAATACTTCCCGCAAGTGTGATATTCCAATTCACAAGTGTGTACCCTACACTCGCGTTCCTCTCATGTAGATACTCCGCAAGTTGGAGGAATGTCACGCCCGCATCGATCATGACCGAGCCATCCGACGCGCCTTCAGATAAAGAGAAGTTGGAAATTCCGTTCACGTTTTCGGTGCGGATGATAACGGTCGCAGGGTCATCGGAGCACATGGTATCGTACCACATGTGGCCCTTTCCAGACGCACGAACAGGAGTGCCGCTGTTTGCGGCCGAGCGGACGATACTAACCATTTCGTCGACGCTGGTTGGGTCGTAGACTCTAGAGACATTGTGACAGGCGGGGAAGCCTTCGCCGTCGAATGTGTTGAAGGGTATCGCAGTCGCGAGCTTCGAGAGCGCAAACGCGGCGAAGAGGAAGGTTGAACGCGCCATTTCGGACAACAGTACCGCGCGAAGGATCCAAGAGGGCACGAAAAACAAGCCAATGTTCCCCGGTGACCTCATCCTTTTGTATTTCCCATGCTCTTGCAATCCAGGGGTGCACCTCGGTGCATCCTCAGGCACGAGGTACGAACACTTGCTTCGGCCATGTGAAAGGTCCAGCATTAAAACGGGAAATCTTCCAATCGTGTAAGCGAAGTAGGCACGACATGTCTAAGTCGCATAATCAGTTCCGCGCCCATGGTGGTATGCTGGAGTGTAAGTCGCATTGAGTGGTCACGAGAGGCGATCGTTATATTGAAGGGAGGGCAAGCCGACGCTAGCAGCTAGGCCGAGTCGGAGAGAGCTGAAACGAGAAGAGCGAATCGCGGGGTACAGCGGAGGAAACGCTGCTTGAAGAAATCATGAGGGATCAGAAGCAAGATGGGAATGACCGAGAATATATTGATGGGAGAGAAGG